CTCGAAAACAAAATTATAACTATTTTATACATACATGCAGCCAATCCATAACACAAAACTTTGACCATTGCCAATCAATAAATATTTTTAAAAAAAACAAATAAAACAATCTCCTTTAATTTTTGTAACCAGTATTGAAATTTTTGTAGCATTGAAGACAGCCTTTTGTAATTTTATCCCCTAAAAGCCTCTGCCACCACTCCCCATTGACCTACCATGAGATGACCTTAGCAGTTGCCAAAACCAAATAGATCTTCACGACAAAACTTAGGATGCATATAATACCTCCTTTGAAGTCATACTGGACACTATGACAATACGCATCCTTTGAAATCTGCCACTTTCTTCGTATTTCACCTAAATAAAGCACGCATAACAGTTGATTTTCAAAAATAAAGAGCAGCAAATAATATGAAAAAGTTGACTCTGGTTGAAAGAATCCTCATAGAAGCAGCCATCAATCTCATCACTGATCTCCTAATTTCGCTAATCACTATTACTGTTTTACAATTTGGAAAACTTTTGAATTTTGAGGTACTTCCCCAAATTTCTCTCTCCAATATTCCACCATTATTAATCCTTCCAAACTTGCCATTAAACTCGCATGTCAAAAAGACCACTGCATGCCTCTAAAGAATACCAAATAATTTAATCTTCCAAGAGGTCCGCTATCCATGTTTTCCAGTCATTCACAGTCCAATTCGATTTTATTTTCCCTAATCACCACTCCAATCATCGATGCCTTATAATACAACTATTGTGCCGATGTCAAATATATCAAATAGATAGTCCCACAAATTGCTAAGAACAAAGAACCTACAACTTTTAAATACCGGGAAAAAATGATTGAAAACCAGAGTATACCTTTGAAAATGTCAAACCTATGCATACACATTGGAAATCGATTGATTGTAATAGAAATTAACATGATTAAACTGAAATAATTGAAGTTCAAGCAATTACAAATGTATCAGGAACTCGAGCAATGAAATCAACTCAGGCTATTGCGAAATCCTTGGTTGTGCTCCTCAGTGCAACTTTGTGATCAATCAAAATTACTTCTCCATTTCTATATGGTTTGCCCACGAGTTGAAATATAAACAAAACACTGTTAGCAAAGAAAGGATGTTGCTGGGAACAAATTACATCAGAGAAGATGGAATTCAATGGTATTATTGAAAACAAATTGAACCGTATTGCGGGTGCCTGCAACAACAATAAAGAAAACTCATTTCACCTCATGTTAAAAGATTTATTTTTAGCAGACACTTTCTGAGTTTCTCTTTCTAGTTTAATTGAAATAAAAACACTGTTCAAACGAGGACTGTGACCAAGTAATTGTAACAAACACATTTCAAAATTCTCGTCCTTGGGTAATAAGGATTTTTATGTCTAATAAAGATTAGCAGATTAAATCCATTCCTCAATAAAATAGTTACTTAGTCACCAACTCTTGGGTAAAAAAGAAGGTTAAAAAATAGCTAGAAAGAACATCTTCATATTCAAATTTAAAACCAATCCAATATTTCTTAGATAGCAAAATAGATTTATTTTTTCATTGTTTTAACTTGGGACCTGAGAAATCACCAAATTCATGAGTTCGACTACATAGACTATAGAAATAATCAATCAAGAAAAGCTATAGATGTGTACCTGCTTCCATAATTTTAGCCAAAGAAATTTTCCAAAGTAGTGATTGGATTGGGTTTGGTTGATGGAAGGTGATGGACAAAGGGAGAGAGAGGAACAGAGAGATGAAGGCAGAGAGAGATTGTGGCTATTTTTTCATCCATAGCAGGCCACACCCGCTTGTTTTGGTGGTCGTTAGCGGTGGAGGGAGGCTTTCAATAGTGTTGTGGGGGTGTTGTTCGGTGGTGGCTATGGTAGCATTGGTGGCGACTGTGGTTGTCGCATTGTTGAAGGACGGAGAGAGAAAGAGATTTGGGGAAGATATGGGTATGGGATATCAAGGCTAGATTTGGGAGGCGTCGTCTAAGTATGAAAAATGGTTACTGGTAGAGTAAATTAAGAGAGAGAACGTGATAAACGGATAGGGATTTCCTGTGATTGAGGGATTAAAAGAAAAAGAAATATTTTGGGCGAGATAAAAAATTTGGGAGCAAATTTGGTACGTTGGATCAAAAATTTTGAAATGATCTGAGACGTCAATGGCTTGAGACAGTTTGAAATAAAGTCGTTCGTTGGATGATGTCTTTTTTTGTCATCAAACGATCCGAACCTCTCTTTGTCTTCAAAATTTAAAATTGTTTTTCTTATATATATATATATATATATATTTTCAAGATAAACTGCTCCACTTTTTAGAAAAAACACATGGTGTCTTGCTTTGGATGCTATTGTTATAAAACGTTTTAAAAAGGTTGTTGTCTACCGGACACAAATAATAGTTGACCCTTGACATAAGCATAGGACACAAATAATAATAACTTTGATGAGTTTGATTTATAAGGCCGATGACCACTCAGTTGTTCAAGTGATATATTAGTGTTTCAGAGTTTGAAAATATGATTTTATTTTTAAAGAAAAAAGTAGTAGGAAGGTTTTTTATCGCTTATCTCTACTCGATTATTATAAACAGAAATTTATGTATTCAACACACCCTTTTAATTAAGTTATATATATATATTTTGTGAGTTTATACTTTTGTTAGAATAATAACCCAAATAATTATTTGCTGATATTCAAGGATGCTTATTCTTCTAAATAAGACTAACTCCAGGCATAGGCCACTAAGTGGCACGTGGGCCCTTAAATGAAAAAAAAAATTTGGTGGGGATTTTCTAATGAAATTTTTGGGATCCCTTGAATGATATATTAATGATATGAGTTTATCTAATTTTTTTTTATCACATTCAATTTTAGCATAATCTAAAAATATGTTATATCTAAGTCCTATATATGATTCAGAATATAGTAGGGTTTTTGACTATTTCTTCCTAAGACCTCAAATTGTGTCCGGACCAAGTTCTAATCACTAGTTCGTGATGTGGGAAAGAGGGATGCTTAACACAATTTGTAATGGTGATTTGACTTGTATGGGAAAAATAAAGAAATTCTTTCGTAGGGAATGACAATAAAACTGATTGTTTAAAGGCCAAACAAGCTCCAAGTTCTACGCCAAAGGTTTGTACTTTTTCCCCGGAAAAGCTCCGGCGATCTTCTCTCTGAAACAGTGACCAGTGAATTTAGAGGACAGCGAGGACAGTTCAATATCGAAGTACTCAAAATAAAGAGCAGCTGAGACAGAAGACATCAATTTAGGTAAGAAACTTGGTATTATATTGCACTGAATCATGAAGCATTGACTTTTTGGGATATATTTTATGAGAGAGACAGAGTGCGCACGAATCTTTGGAGACAGAGATCTAAAACTTATATATCCCACGACTCATCATTATCAATATTAATTAAAAAAGAGAAGAAGTTATTAATCGGATAAAAATTTTCACTCCGATTTAGTATTCAATTTCTTTATTCATTTATTTAACTTAAAGTATTAAAGAGTTACTCGTGATTTTTGAATTACTTGTGTAAAAATGCCCCGTTGTCTCTCCGAGTACAATTTCTAGCAACATCTCCTAGGCGGTCAATTTCTGCCATCATCAATTTCTATCATCTATGATTACAAATAATTTAAATTCACATTTTTTATTTGTATTTATTTTTACTAAAAAAAAAATAACTGTTGACACCATGTACTCATGGTCAAAATATTATGAACAGTGAGGATTAAGGAAGGATAGAGAGGCGGTGTCATGGCTCCAAAAGTCCACATTGAGCTGCATTGACACCTGCATGTCATTGGCTACTTTGAACTTTCTGTGCATACACTAAATACGCTGGTCCCACCACACTGGAAAAAAATTAGATGACATCAAAACCGTCGAAAACACTAGCCCCACCACAATTGGTGTCTGGTCCCACTAGAGAGGTTAATTCTGGAATTTCAATATATACGCAGAGACAGAGAGAAGAGAGTAATAATGGCCGGGGAAGAGAGGTTGGAAGAGCATTGAATGCAAGCATTTAAGAATTGACCGGAGCAGTAAAAGAGAAATTTATTGAATGCGATTTATTTGCTTTTATTATTGTAGTTTTCTAGAGTTCTGAAAATAACTGAGTTGAAGAAAGAGAAAACTGACAGAGTCGTTGGTGGGAGTACTAAGTTGGAGGGGGACTGGTGGAGAGAGACAGACAAAGCACCGTTGGAGCTGTTTCTTCTCCTATTTGCTTTCTTCTACTGTTGAAGATGTTTTCTCCTGGTTGCTTCCTCTGCTCTCTTCTCCCATGCCCTTTGAATGGTTGTAAATCTTTGGCTCATCACTCTCTTGTACGTTTGATGTCTCTTGTAAGTTCTTTCTAGCTTCTGGGTGCTTGATGAATTTTGGGTTGATTCCTGGAATCTCTCAAAACCTTTCCATGTCTTGATATCTTAATTTCGTTGTTGGATTTACCCTCCACATTCCTTTGGTTTTTCAATTTGGTCCCCTATTTGGATGCCTTTGAATCTGGGGTCTTGAATCTTTTGTGGGGTTGACACCTGGGTTCTGTTGAATTTCTGAGTCCACACTCTACAATGGGTGAGGGCTGAATCTGAAATGAGGCCTTCATTTAAGGGTCTTTCAAAGATGCTAAAGCTAGCGTTTCTCTCTCTTTAATTGCATTAAAGGTTCGATCCAAATCAGAAATCTTAGCTTACTTTTCTTTGTCTCTTCTTTTAGACCAAGCCTATCTTACCTGATTTCTCTCAAAACTATTAAGGGAAGATTCTCTGTTTCTTTTGTTTTGAATGTTGCAGGTTCTAAAGCAAAAGGTTCTTCCTAGTACAGCCGAAGTTTGGAGTCTCCATCAATTTATGCTTTACTTTGGGGCTTTTATTTCTATGTAACATTAATCAAACCCTTTTTGGGTTTTGGTTTGAACTTGTACTGGGTCTTGCTTTTCTGGGTATTTGTCAGATTGATTCTGGAGAGAATTATCAGCATTGTTACTCATGCATCTTTCACTATGGAAACCCATATCCCACTGCGCAGCCCTTATCATGTACAAGAAAAACAGGAAAGGAGATGGTTCTGGTTTGACCGAGGACGGTGTGGCAAAACCCTCAATTCTCCGGCAATTGCAAGAAAACAAGCTCAGGGAGGCTCTCGAACAAGCATCTGAAGATGGGTCGCTGGCAAAATCGCAAGACATCGATTCCGAGACACCGAATCAAGATGGAAACCTTGGGAGGTCAAGATCTCTTGCTCGGCTCAACGCCCAGAAGGAGTTCTTGCGAGCCACTGCACTCGCGGCGGAGCGAACATTTTGCTCCGAAGAATCCATTCCTGACCTCTATGAGGCATTCTCCAAGTTCCTCACAATGTACCCAAAGTTCCAATCAACTGAGAGAGTTGATCAGTTGAGATCAGATGAATATGACCATCTCTCTGATTCCTCTGCCAAGGTATGTCTTGATTACTGTGGCTTTGGGTTGTTTTCTTTCTGTCAAACTCTTCAGTATTGGGAATCATCAGCTTTTAGCTTAAAAGAAATAACTGCAAATTTT